ATCTCCCTGGGATAGTGGATCTATTAGTTCAATCTCTGAAATTTTCGTCAGAATAGGTTGAGTTGTTTTTGATTTTATAATCAATAACCAAGAACACATGACCTTTTTACAGTGCAGGGTTTTAAATAAGAGGACGACAGGGGACTGAGTTCCATTACCTCTGATTGCTCTTATTAAGGCACCCCCTTTAAAAAATTATTCAAACAGTAAGCTGATAATTCTCGCTCGTATAACTCACAAGAAAATTATAATTTATGCTCCTATTGATATTTTTATATTTTTTCATTATATATTTAGTTTTGTTAATTTATATTACGTAAGCTTTAAAAAAACTGTTTATCTGCAATGAAGCCCTAATTCCTAAGAAAAATATAATATGTATGTTATTTTTTATACTTTTTTGTTATATTTTATTTTGTTAATTTATGATATATAAGTTAGGGTTAAAATAAATCTATTTTGTAAAATTAAGCCCTATAAGAAGAAAAAAATATAATTTATGTGCCTAAATATATTTGTAGGTACCTATTTAATTTAATTTAATATTATATAGGGCATAGGCTTCATTATGATTCTATATAATATGGATATTTTTGCTACCTTTTAACAAAAGTACCTAATGGATATTTCTAGAAAAAAATGTTTCATTAAACAAATTAATGAATTGTTGTATACAGGAAAACAATACATGGAACGCTAAAATAAAATATGAATCACAGTACCTAGTTCCTATACAGTACCTACCCCCTTGCATTTTATTCCATTGTATGCCCCTGTAACACCTGCCATTTATATTATATTATACGAAGGTATTAAATTGCACAATAATTGATTCTATATTACTATAATATTAGCCACATTATAATATTTATAACACGTTTAAATCCACTACACTATTATTATTTATTACACCTCGCATTCATATAAACTATATTTTGCATTGTTTATACATATAATTAAATTCGACTATTGAGTTTTCTGAATAATATAGAAAGCTGTAATGTTCGAATAAAGTTAATAAACCAGCTAGAAGTTCTTAACTCTTAATGCTATAATAATGATAACTGATTGATTACAATATTTTACAATACCGGCACATCAGCACATGTGTAGAAAAGCCACGTGTGAAAATACCGACTGTTTGATTACGCAACCAACTGCAAGAATATTCGTATAATATTCATATTTGAATGGACAACAAATATCTGGTTTATTCTATCAATATTGACCTTGTTAAACATAGTTGGAGGAAGACTAGATATACTAGATATACTAGATACAGAGACGTGTTATTTTGTTTAAATTTAAATTCGCCAATTATTTAAATTTACATTTTCTAGACATAAGAAGTATTCAAATGCTATTACATAATATTATATATAAATTTATACTAAAACTAGTAATTAATCGTGAGACACCCTGTATACTAATAATATTAGTAATCAAACATTTAACATTTTCTTATCTTTGAAGCGTATTATTTTATTTTTAATCGGTATTAAAATCGGGTTTATTCAAATATTACGTACGTACTATATGGTATTAAGGTACAAATGTACAATCATAAATATTTCTATGAAAAGTCAAACAACTATACACGATAATGTATGGCATTTAAGACTTAGTTTCACATTTTAAACTAATATTTGAAAAAATTATTTATTTTCCAAAATATGCTGCTGGAATACAATTTTAAAAAAAAAAATATATATTTTTAAGGAACAATATCTTCGTTTATAATATTATATGAACATATCAATAAATTACAACTTTATTAACTGATAGTTATTAGAATTAAATGCAAGTGAGTTAAAAAAAATAAACTAATATAATATACTTCTAATGGATGTAAATAATAGATATCAAGTACCTATTCGTGTTTAGAGTTTATACGTGAGCGTGACTGGCAGTTGACGAACATATTATAGAAACATAAACTTATTATACAAATGAATGAACATCTTTCAGTATAACTACGAAAATTGTATACTCGAAGGTTGTACCATAATATTAAATATTATACGAGTATTGTGGGTATAGTAGGTACCTAATATATTTGAAACTGGAAATAAATTCTTCTTCAAACCGGTTTCAGATGTACGTGTGTTGTGCAAGAATTTGTTCACAGCCTTTATTTTTTATGCAATATGTTTTTTTATTACTTACCTCAAGAAACTGCAACATACTAAGATGTGTATTATTCTAAAATAAATTCCCACAAACCGTTAGCCGATGTTGGATGCGGATATTCATATCACAGAATATAATATTACCGTTTAAATATTTCCATTTACAGAATATAATAATAATTAGCGAAGTTTTTCGACACCAATAACGTTTTTTAAACAATAATATCGTTTAGTAATAAATTATAATTTTACAAATCTATAATTAACCTTGGTCCGAATTCAATACCTACAGATATAGACATATAGTCCCTTTCTAAATTATTACTATTACGGTGAATTAATCCATTTAAAAATATTACTACATATTTAGGATTGGTTAGTTGGTGGGAGCAACCAATTTAAATATTTGAACTAAAAAAGCAGTTTTACATCTGAAATTAGCTTCTAACAGACTTTTCAATTAATGTTATAATAACATAAATACCTGGTTAGTAAAAATAGTAAAAGATTTATCACGTATAACGCCGAAGAGTCAAATTTTTTGGATTCAGATTTCAGGGTGCTGGACATCTTATCGTCGACGCATATTATACGTCGATATAAGGAAAATCGTGTTAGCCACACATTACATTTAGCCCAATTGTTTGAATTAGTCCCTGGAAACATATTTTAGTATAGGTTTATGATATAAAATATGTATAAAAAAAGTAAATACAAATCGTTGTAGAAGAACATTTAAAAACATAATATACAATGTACAATACTTTAATATATTATATTATTTACGTAATCATAATATATGACCACTGACTTAAATGTAAACATTAATCTAAATGTAATTATAAATATATTTCCAAAGACAAATCACTGGGTTCATTTAACAGTTTCGTTATGGTAATTATTTTCAGTGGTTGTTAGCCCATGTTACGTAACTTCGTATGCGTTTATGTATAATTATAACTATTGATACTCTATGGTTTTCATCACTGCATGACGTATGGATGTACCATGCCACAATGTACTTCTTAATCACATTTTAAACCATTAAAACCTGAAAGCAATTTAATAAAATATTAAAAACATGGTTTATAATCATAATTAATATAATATATTATAATTATTTTTCGTATTTCCCTTCCTTAATAACAATATGGTTCAAACAATTGTCTGATCTCCGATGGCCATCGAATGAAATAATACTGTATAAATTACGGACAATACATATCAGTGATTATAGACTAAAGTCCAATTTGAACGTTTGTAAAAGGCTCTATGTGTAAAACTATCTTTACACAAATTCTGTTTTTTTCTCAAAAAATGATTGTTTGGTACTTCCCGTACAAAAAAAAAGACACAAAATAATAAAATAATCAAGATATTCAAATAAGATATTGGAGTGTATCAATAAGTACCGATACGTAACGAATTCTTCTTCTTAAAAATCTTAAATATTAAATATTAATTAGTATTAATTACCTTTATGTTGGTCATATTAAAAGACAGTTGAGTAATAAATGTGTGTAATATATAATTATTATGTATTATATTATGTACGAGGGTTATTCAGAGAGTAATGCCTGTTCGTGTTCATAGGCCAAAGGGAAATCGTAGGTAGCAATAAAGTTAGTGGGTTTATGGTATATATTATCATATATCTCATAAAAATACTAAATACCTATGTGTGTACTGATATGTGGTTCAGGACTATGAAATAAGTCCTGAGAGATATATGGAGGGTTTATCCGGTACGATTCCACACGATTTGGAGAGATTATAGGATATGGCGAGTAATTTCAGACAAGATTATTACAACCATTTAACCATGTGAGTCGCGGTGATATGCAAATTGCATGGACTACCAAATTGAGTATTCAAATTACTATACTGAATTGATAAGTGCATTGATTGTGGATTTCAATTATTACAGCGGAAAATCTGTCGTAATCCTTTATAGCAGTGTTTCCCAAACTTTTTTGATATGGTAAACCGAAAATTTACTCTTTTTTGGGTACGTGACCACAATATAAAAAAAAACCAGTAGGTCTTAATTAATAAATATAAGTATTATTAACAATCATTTTTACTATGAGCAATTCTATCATTTAATATAATATAATGCAGTAATGAATAATGAATACCTACATATTATAGTTCTGTTAAAATGTAGGTATATAGATTATTTTTAAATTGAATTAAAATTTAAGTAAAATATATTAGGTATACCTACTTGAAATAAAAAAAATTGGTATATCGTAATATGATGATAAAATAATTGTATTGCTGATTTTGTATTGCTAGATATTCATTATACTGTAGGTCCCTACTGCACACAAACAAATCTATAATAGTTTAATTTTTGTATCACACAATCCTACTAAGATTATAATAAAATCTCTAGTAAATATAGAAATAACCTGCAATGGAAAATACTTAAAGCATAAAAAAATTAAAGTTTTTTTTTTTAAACATTTCCGAGAAACAGCCTGAAAATATTCATACCTATCAAGTATAATTTTACCACTCACAAAAATATGCGACATTTGGTTATTGATTATCGTTTTAAATTTCGTACAGCATCACAGAATTCACTTTTATGTAGGTAGCTACTATAGCTACAACTAGAATATACTTCGTTTAAGGCTTCAGGCAAATTGATATATATACGTCCGGAAATTATTAGTACCTATGTAACTAATTCAAGACACGTGTCCTAAAACTGTTTGAGATGTCAAAGATAATAACCTGTTGAATTTAGTCCGAAACTAGTATGCAGCCATAAGAGGAAAAGACCTCAATATTTGAACTATTTTAAGCAGAGATTATTTTTACTTGCTGATAAAATATAAATTATAATAAAATTGTATTTTTCAGGAACATTCCAACGGAACAGGTACCAACAAGCAAATTAACCACAGCATTGAGTACACTTGGACTCACATGAACGTGTACACGAGAAACGGAAAAAGCCAAAACTTTTACGATACGCTCACGTCATGCTGTTCGAGTGGTCTGAAAAACAAGACTGAAAGAAAACAATTGTTAAACGACGGTGAGTTATACATATATAGTTATAAGTTATAATATACAACTTTTACCAAAATATTATCCGCGTCGGATATGAATTCTCCCCTAGCTTTTGCTATTCATTTTTATGACTATAATATAACGACACCGTTAACGGTCAATTACTGTATTATGGTAACATTGGTACCTACGTCGTGTAAATTACAGGATACCCGCCGGCTAATACTAACCATAATTATTACAAGTTATATTATTCACTGTAAATATCACACGTATCTAAATATATGCCGGTTTTATGATCTGCTAGTGTAGACATATTATTATTATATTATGCGTGTAAAATTGGTTCAGGAAGGCATATTATCTCTCTCGCCTATGCCCTATAGTAGATCATACAACCAACAAATCCTAATCATGTTGTTATATCAATAATTATTATTTGGGTTATTTATTGTCGCGTACATAATATAATATATTTATATATGATTTCAGTGAGCGGTTCGGCGCGACCGGGCGAACTGTTGGCGCTGATGGGATCCAGTGGCGCCGGCAAAACGACCTTGTTGAACTCTCTGACATTCAGGAGCGACCACAACGTGATAGAGTCTGGAGTTAGATCCATCAATGGTATACCGGTCAACAGCAAATTGTTGACTGCCGTTTCTGCGTACGTCCAACAACACGACCTGTTCATCGGGACGCTCACCGTCCGGGAGCACTTAATATTTCAGGTAAGAATAACCAGGAATGTGGGTTTTAAGCACAACGTTCATGGGTATAATTCGAGGAGGACTAGCGTCTCTGTAGCGCCTCTAGATAATATTAAATACATGGATACCTACAGCCTTACAGGTATGATCAAATAGCTTATACTAGTTACCTACCAGATTACCAGAATGGTTAAAAGCATATATAAGGTTGTGGTATTCTCAGTTCTCAACACTGATAATATAAAATAATAATAATATAGAATAATAACTTTAAAACACTTAACACAAACACAATATGAATATAATTATAATATTATCATATTTTAACAAATGTTATTGTAATTATTGTTATAATAATAATAAAAAAAAAAATAATAGGTATCGAAAATTATTGAATGAAAAATTTGGTAGCTGATATGGCGGAATGATAAAATGGTTTTCTTTATCTTAAAGCAGAGATCACAGCTGTCGTATGAGTCCAAAAGTTGAGCTCGGCCCAACTCTGAAAATGTCTCGATAGATCGTGATTATATTATATTTATATAGTGAATGACACCATAATAACAATCAGAATATGATAAAATAACACAAATAAAAAGTAACACCACACGACAGATGATAAACCCGACTTAACAGTACGTACCCTCGTGCCTTAAACTATAGTGGACTCTCAAATCACAGTATACCTTGTATATTGGATTAGGTTCGGTCTATGGTGTTATTTATGATGGCGCTTGATCAGTTGGTCCGACGTTTCCACGTGGTATTACCGGTCCGGTTTATTAATTCTCGTCGTACATTCTAACCTTACCTTCGATACTTTCGAAGTCTGCAACCAACGTGACTATAACCAACGTCTATTTCTACGGTTGAGCGGCCTACGTTAGAAATCGCATTTCTGCCAACATTCCAGTATTTAAATTGTTAAGATTAATTCCGGTTTCCCCGTAATTTTAATTATTAAGAAATCTTACACACGTACGACATACACAAAACTTGTTTACGCAGTCTGAGTAAAACTCGCTCAATTTTGGTTTTAGGGTAAAAATACCTTTCATAAAATTGAATTGTGACAATATTTCTGAGGGCAAGTCGTTGCGTTTTTTCCATTATACCCAATATAACGTTCATTAAATCGTTTAGAAATAGAAAATTGTTACAAAAAAATGCATAAAAACGCCACTTATAAATTATAATTATTTACTTACACCAGATGATTAGTTCCTATATAGACTTATAACTGGATTTTAAAATTTTAGCACTGTGTCTTAAGCTATATTTTATTTGTTCTGACAGGCGATGGTGCGAATGGACAGACACATACCGTACGAAAAACGAATGGCTCGAGTCGAAGATGTCATACAAGAGGTGAGATTCAATAATATTGATATTTAATATATAATATGCGGCGATTTGATTACACATATGATATTCATGCTATATATTTTTTCCCGATTTAGCTGTCATTAAGTAAATGTCAAAACACTATCATCGGTGTGACCGGCAGAATAAAAGGTTTATCCGGTGGTGAAATGAAACGTTTGTCGTTCGCTTCCGAGGTAAGGCAATAATTAGTTATTAAAAATATAACCCAGGTCTTATTTTTTTAGATTTATTAGAGTGCAATATTATATAAATTATATGATTATTACGATTTGTGTAAACATATAAATGATTATGATATCGTAAACACGTAAATAATAAATAATATATTAAAGCTATCGTTAATATGCATTTTTTTTACATAATACCTATACCGTTTATTTTTCGACTGCGTCTTACAGGTGTTGACAGACCCTCCACTGATGTTCTGCGATGAACCGACCTCGGGACTGGACTCATACATGGCTCAAAACGTGATCAGTGTGCTCAAGTCGATGGCGTCTAAAGGAAAGACAATCATTTGCACCATTCACCAGCCGTCTTCCGAGGTGTACTCCATGTTTGACAAGATACTATTGCTGGCCAGCGGCCGGACGGCTTTCCTGGGCACTCCCAACGATGCCATCGAGTTTTTCAAAACGTAATAACCAAATATTTTCTTATGTCTAATACACGGATCTATAAGTCCAGAACATGGTCACAAATAACCGTGGTCCAGAATAATCATAAAAAAGTATTCACTTGTACTAATGTATACTCCCCCTCCGACACTCCTTGACATGAAATGTTGAACATTATCAAAAGGAAGACTGGTTCTACAGGAATTCAGGATAATATACTAAACAATAAATAGACTCTTAGGTCCATATATCCCTCCCCTAGTGGCTGTGCACAGTGGCCCCCATAGCCGTTTTTCCCCTAATAAATGTATTTCTAATATTCAAAAACTGTAAAAAAATTAGGTTAGTTTATACTTAACCACCCCCCCCCCCCAATTTCATAATCCTTGCTAAACAATTGGTTGTGCATCGTTTCCGCCAAAAATTACATTTTTGTTTCCGTTAAAATAAAAAAAGGTTTTATCTTTATTATATTTATCATCATTCAATTATCATTTGAGAACCACTTAGTCATAATTCTGGTTTTATGTTGCTATCGTTTTTTAGTATTCTGAAAATAGTACCTACTACCTATGTTACTACCCACAATTGGACCACAATTTCGGTGATAGTTTTTGCAGAACCACAAATAGTTTAATTTTGCTAATAATTCCATATTTCCATGCACATTTCAACAAACAGTTCTACAATTAATCACGCATCCTAATATTAATATATTTTTAAGAATTTTAACTTCAAGTGTTCCAACACTTAAAACTAATATATGTAGGTATACAAATAAACAGTTCTAAATTAAATATCCATATACCAAAACTATAAATTACCTATTCAAAACAAAATAATTAACACATCAACTGCAATAACGAAGCAGATAAAATAGATTTTATATTATATTTAATTTCTATTTTCTAACAAAGTAAATCGCCAGCTGTATGGTTTATAATATTATGTTTGTTAATAGGATTCACTATCGTTATTTCAGACTCCCTGATCTCGATATAATATATTGGACTGTATAATATATAAGCGATAAGCTTACAGGAATTTATAGGTACTCGGTTAATTAATTGTTCCCGTCATTTAAATTTAACCCCGAAATTGTATTAAAAAAACCAATATTAATCTACTTGACTATGATTAAAAAGATAACTTATTTAAATTTGACTAGTTGGTTAATTGTCTAATTAACTTAAACTTAATGCATTAGAATTAATTTAATTTATCATTGTACATTAATAACTTTGATTTTCCATTTAATTTGAAAATGTATTTTATACTTTTTGATCACTTTATAACATTGCTCTGTATATGACGTGAGTTTAAATTAATTTAAAACAACAAATCATTCATCAGCAATTTTTTGATAAAACAATAATGATAGACGATAGTTACGTAATAAATTAAAAATGTAATTATGTATAGCATTGGTTCCTAAACTATTTTTCTCATTGCACATTATTGTTTGGTACTAAAAGTAACAGTATGACCTATATACTTTCAAGTTTCAATAAACATTTCATACTTCTCAATAACAGGTAACTTTAGATCCAGGAAAAAAAACACCACAGACCAAATTAACATTTAAATGTTTTCACTAAAATGCTGAATTACATACCTATTTGTACTTCCATTTTCAGTTCTTTTCTAAAAAATTTATCTCACGTAATAATATATAATATATTTGTATCGAAAATTATTTTTAATAATACATTTTATGAGTCTAAATTAAAAGTTCAAATAATCAAGGTTCGACCTTTGAAATTCAAATATACGTACACCAATATCACCTAGAGTGGCACCGAATTATTTAAAGGTGGTTCATTTGTATATGGAACCAAAAAAAAAATTGGGTGGTTAAGACGGTTATGTAGATGAGTAAATGTAAAGCCGGGTTCACACTACACCGTGACGTGTAAAATAATCACAGAATATATTCAACTATGCGGTATCGTTTGGTAACTATGGTATCTGTGATTATTTTACACGTCACGGTGTAGTGTGAACCGGGCTTAAGATTAATTACCAAATTGTACCTAAATATTATGCTAATTGGTTTGATATACCGGTATAATGGTGGGTATAGATGGATGTATACATTTTGTAAATTAAATCAGTGGACAAAATATAATTACCTTCACTGTATACTTACTAATTGGTATTTACTATCGATATCAAAATATAACCGTCAACCGAAATCCGGTGATTGAAAATAAAAAATTGTAATAACTAAACTACCTACCTATTTATTATGATTGAGTTTAGTTAACACTACCTACATAATATTATTCCCCTGTGACCTGTGTATGTAAGTGTTGAATGTATTTTTTTTTGACGTTTAACTTATAACGTTAGCACTATGTTCTCATGTCGACTATTAACTCAAGTTCTGGTTATTTTAATATTGTCATTAGCTTGCCTGCAGCCTTTGTACACAATATATTAAATCCCATCCGTAATTTCGTATAGGCTCGGCGTCAGCTGCCCGAAGAACCACAACCCAGCGGACTTTTTCATTCAACTGTTGGCCATCGTACCGTCCCAAGAGCAGTGCTCATACGAAACCATCGACACGGTTTGCGAGGCTTACGAGAGCTCGAACTACAAGAGAGACATGATGGAACACCAAAAACAGTTGTGTGCCGCCGGCAAAGTAAGTGTGTACAGTGTACATATAGTATGATATATCACATTCGTAAAAACAGCCGGTGCCATCCTCCACCATGAGGTATATTTTTCAACTTTTGTTCATTTTATGGCAACCGTTGCTGGGGGATGCGACTGTGGGTGTCTGCTGCAATATAATATGATCATCGGCTTATATATAAACTCCCGACTCTTACTCAAATAAACTAAGTAGCGAGTTTGTTTTCCGCTTTTTCCAGAACACGGTGGACTGTAGTTGGGGTTCGAACGGTCTGGAGAACGTCTCGTCGCCGTACAAAGCATCGTGGACGGAACAGTTTTCAGCGGTCTTCTGGCGGTCGTGGCTCAGTATTAAAAAAGAACCAGCCCTCACCAAAATTAGGCTCATCCAGACCATGGTAAATCCAAAGTAAAACCACGGTGGTGACCGACCCGATCTAATCCGTAAACATTCTTATAATTTCAGTTGGTAGCCGCTCTGATAAGTTTCATATTTTACAACCAGCACCTGGACCAAGACGGCGTGATGAACATCAATGGAGCACTGTTCATGTGTATATCTAACATGACGTTCCAGAATGTATTAGCCGTTATCAACGTGAGTATACCTATACCGGTCCTACTCGGTCCGAGTGATCTCAGAAAGGTAAACGATAAAACTCCGGTCGGGGGAGGGACAGTGGCGCAAATAGGAGGTGAGCGCTAGGACAGATTATAACCTCCCTATAGTATCTTTATAGGAACCTTATAGAATATTGAGTAGAAAATATTCAACTTGACAACGTGTAACAGATATTTTTTAGTTCAGTAAAAATGCATTTAAATGTATGCTGAAACGTTTATTGATTCCAACGCTTATAGTTATAAGTTTATTTTTTAATAATGGATAATATCAAGGTTAATACTCAAGTACATTTATTTGTAAATAGAAAAACTAAAAACAAAAGGCTAGGGTTAACAGCCTCGAGTATTGCATTTAATAATATAATATTATAATATATGTATAAAAATAAAAACGATAGCTAGTTTATAGTTTCGGACATTATTCATCAGGTTATACTTGTGTTAGTACTCAGATTTTTTTTTCATTTTATTTCATTATATTACATATGTAAATTATTTAAATTTTGTAAGTAGGTACATGGTATTTATATTTTATTTTTAAAATAATTTTAAAAGTAATTTGATACCGTTAAACTTCCAGATCTATATTATAGTAACACAATTTTTATTTTTATATTATAGTGGGGGGGGGGGCACTATTGAGTCTGTAACCCTAAAAAATGTTCGTAGTTTTATTATTTAAAAGTAAATATTTTTTTGATCACTCAGTATTATATAATACACTAATGAAACATTGATAAATGTACCGATTGAAATTTATTAATGGTTTTGTAGTTACAAATCACAATAGTTAAATTTAGATAAGTAGGTACCTACGTAATTGTATTATTATTACTACTTATACCAAACGATAACGACCAAATAAGGTATATGAATGTCTTTGCGCGTTTGAGTTAACCGTAAAGTTAAGTTTAAATATATTATATCCATAAAAGTCTAAGGAGGATATATATTATACTCAAATAAATTATCAAAGGGCGCATAAATCCCTACCCCACCCCACTCGAGCAAATAGTTCCTTTCTCACAAACTACTGCAAGGCGGATGAGGACAAATAACACGCATAACACACAAACTCAAATTTCCGAATGCATTATAATTTATTAGATAGCAAAGATTACTGCACATATTATATAGGTAATAACATTATATTATTATTTCTATCGCCACAGGTGTTCTGTTCCGAACTTCCGGTGTTCATGCGTGAACACCACAACGGCATGTACCGGACGGATGTGTACTTCCTGAGTAAGACCCTCGCCGAGGTACCGATATTCTTGGTGTTGCCCATACTGTTCACGTCCATCATGTACTACATCGTGGGCCTGAACCCAAAGTTCACACACTTCCTCGTGGCTGCCCTGTTCATAACTCTCGTCAGTCTGGTCGCTGTATCATTTGGTAAGTGAACATCCGAATATTAAGGGGCCTCGATACTGCCTTCAATTTTAGCTGAAAAGATCTAATGTATTGACAAAATTAAAGTTATTTAATGTTGTCCGATTTTGATTCTGAAAAAAAATTTGAACTCACCAGAAAATTGTCTGTATATCGATCTATATATAGATCTATAGATCCTACGGAGCACTTTGTAAAAACTAAATTTTATATTATTGTGAATTGTAATTGAAAACTTAAAAATATCAACTCTTTCGAATCATCGTTAAAATTAAAATTAATATTAAAAACGGAAAATGTTTCGTACGATCTACAGACATTTTTCTGCTGAATTCAAATATTTTTTCAGAATCAAAATCAGACAACGTTAACTAACTTTAATGTTGTCAAAACAAATGTATGTTTTTGTGAAATTGATATGATTATCGAGCTATTGACATGTGCATGCGAGTGAGGATACCCGAATGTAATTTCACTCACACTAATAATCATTTACAACTAATGCATAGACGAGCGCTTCCCCGCAGTAAGGCATTTGGCTGGCTTATCAAATAATAACGTTAACATAGAATTAAAAAAAATATAAATATATGTAAAATTCAGAATTTTCTAATTTTGATACATAGAAATGTATTATTTGTAATAGTTTGTATTGTATAATTTTTAGTTTCTTTAAGCCCCGTTCACAAGATCAAATAATTTGTCAAATATTTGATGTATGTCAAACTTCAAATATTTTAGAAATGGTTCTAAAATATTTGGAGTTTGACGAATGAACAGGGCTTTAGACCAGCGGTTCTCAAACTTTTTAAATTTGCGTACCACCAGCTATACCGTTTCCCAGTTACAAAAATTTCCGGAAACTCACTGTTCTCACAAGTTATGGCATATCAAAGTTGCAGCGATTACGCGTGTATCGGCACTCGTCGCTACGCTCCTCGGCGCCGTCGCTCCGCTCCGCAAATCGAAAATATCCCCCTATTTGCTGTGTGAACTACCTCAGGTAAACCTCGGTTTTCCTCAATATTGTTTCTAAGTATATTTATTCCCAGCGTGGTCACTCGCTCGTCCATTCAAAAGTACCTATATTTTTTAATATTGACAACTTTGAATTGCCATAACTTTTGAAGTTTCCGGAAATTTTTTCAAATACTTGAATTAAGCTTAAAAAACCAATTTTATTATAATTATTAATTTTAGATAGGATCAGAAAAAATTTAATTGTTGTCGCAGATTAACTCTATGATAACGTTATTATATTATGATAAGCCAGCCAAATGCCTTACTGCGGGGAAGCGCTCGTATGCATAGGTCCTCGGTCGGCAATGACAAGATTAAAAATTGCCTAAATGTTGCCCCTTAAATAATGACAGTAGCGAGGCCCCTTAAGGCGGGTTCCACTATACAAGTTTTCCGTGTACACGAAAAATATTCAGCTATGTCCAACAACACGGTATCGTGGTTAATCGTGCCACCAACCGGCAACCAATCACAGCAAAGGATTTGTATGCACGTAGATATATATAGTGGAAACCCGACTTTATAATATACAAATCTATACGGTTACCTAGGTTAGTAGGTACCTACTACATGGTAGGTACTACATGTCTACTGCACTTCCATCCCGCTCAATTGGTTTCGGCCAGCAGACATCGTACGACCGCTTTTTGAGGGGTTTTTAATGGGAAATTTTAACGATATTCAATGATACGTTATACAAATGGTTGTTGTGCTGGAATAATTACCTACGAAATTAGCGTCTGGTGCAAACCAACAACATTCAGTAAATATTTACAAGTTCATAAAGGAATTATTGCCACATTTGAAAATGATGTAACTTAACCTGCGATATATCGTTCTCTATTTGTTCAATAGCCTCCTAACTATTGACATATTATAAGTAACATTTTTATATATTTTTTTTACATGTCAAAATTGAAGATTGGACTTAGATTTTAAAAACAATACAATTCTCAAGATTTGTAATAGTCTAAATAATCACACATCTGTTCAGTATTTTTCTGGAATTATTTAAAGTTAATTCAAAAATAAGAGTCCAAAGCGAGAAGAATAAAGTTTACTCCTTACAAATAAAAAAATTTAAAAATTCAACTATCCTGCAAGATTTTACTATAATAATTGTCTGATAATTTTCCCTGTAAAGTGGTTATCAATTGACAATCGTTCTTGAATTAATCGTTGATGGTTGATACTTGATCCGATTCCGTAAGGGCGGCGCGGCGCTGGGCAACCATGAAAATTGCATAAGCTTAACCCCTTAATAAATAGCCTGCTATTTTTTTTTGCTTCTACGCCCTTAAAGGGACGTCACAGTGACATCCGTTGTCTCCGTCTTACAAAGTGCACAACATAACAAATTTTACGCTCAGCAGATCATGTTTATCTCCGTTAGTTAAAAATTAGAGTGAATTGAGTAATTGACCTCTTAAAAATTTTAAAGGTAGATTATTATCTGTTCTAGGATATGACAGGCAATTTATTAAATTTTAATTTGAAAACGACTTATGAGTATTTTAAGATGTACAAATAATTTACAATTTTAAAATACTCATATAACTCTTTTTAAAATTAAAATAAAATAAAAGGCCTATGTCACTGCCTATATAATAATCTTACTTTTGAATGTTATAAAAGGTCAATTCACTCTAATTTTTATACTAACGGATATAAACCGGATCTGCTGGCCGCTGGGTAAAATTATTAAAATTTGCTGTTACTCACTTGTAAGACGGAGTCTACAAACGTCCCCTTAAAATTAAATTATAATTTAGAATAACACTGTTCTGTCCTCATTCGTTTGGTTTTCTCAGGTTACTTTGTATCGTGTGCCAGTGGTTCCATATCGGTCGCACTTTCTGTGGGGCCCACGATCGTCATACCTTTCCTGCTGTTTGGCGGTTACTTTTTGAACGTCGGGTAAGTTGAAGTGTACACAAATCACCGTGCATTTTCATATTAATTATTATCACGCACGTATGTAATGCAATATCGTGTATTACGACAAAATTATATATATATAAATAATTGATTATTCTGTACAACGCTTTTGAATCGAATATAATATTATGATAATATAATAATAGTTATTAGTTACAGTTGAGTATAATAATATATTATAATTGTTTGATTTCAAGATCGATTCCGTATTATTTCCGGTGGCTGAGCGTCTTCTCGTGGTTCAAGTATGCCAATGAAGGGCTGCAAGTCAACCAGTGGGCAGACATCAACACCATCCAATGCAACAGGGTGAATACGACGTGTCCCCGTTCTGGGCACGCCGTCTTGGAGTCTAACAGTTTTCTAGAGGTAAACAGACAACAACATTGTTGATTATTGTTGGTTTTGAACTAAAATTAAACATAACGGTCGGTCATCTGGCAGCGAATAATTATTATCACCAGAGATATCTTTAACTACGACCATAATATTTTGTTATGTACCGAGTTTGAACATATCTAATCTATTCTGGTTTTGTTTTATTTTTTCAGTCAAACCTCACAATGGACATAGCTTCATTATTTCTATTAATCATCGCTTTTCGGTTCATGGCATTCTTGGCGCTCCTGGCCAGAACGACAAGAAAGTAACACATACGTGATAATATTTTCAATGATTCTAAAAATTCATCACTGAAACAACTGCCTACAACATACATGTTTGTAATCCAACGTCACAGGCGATACCTACTTGGAATTAAGAGACAAATCCAGGGAAAAAATAAAACTATATACATTAATATATAATATATATATTTATACAGGATAAGATCGCTTAGGGTTGTAAATATTATATTATTTTGCATAAGATCTTAGATAGAAAAATAATGTAATGTAATTTAAATTTATTTTAAAACAATAATTTCATAGTTAAATGCCTTGTCATCATCGTGCATTCATGAATCAAAAACATCTCTGAAACATAATTTGTATAATTTATAAATTGGTACTTTTAAAATTTTAATTTGTACAATAGTTTATTATTTATATTTAAGTTGCACAGTACTTGAGTGCCATAGCCAGAGTGAATGAATGCCTGTGACTTGTCCACTACACTCAAAATCTCATGTTTTTCTAATTAGATAAATACACACAAACACACCGATAAACCTAAATATATATTATTCATTTACTATAATTATGTATGTTAAAGTCCCCCCCCCCTCTCAATTGAAATAAAACCCAAAATACGGTACTGATATTTGGTGAACTAAAATAATGTTGGTTGTACCTGTACGGTATTCAATCCGACTTTTTTAATGGTCCTGATTATTTTAAGAGTATACATTTTATATTTGTTAGATGATTTTTTTATTATTATTATTATTATTATTATTATTATTGCTACTATTATTATTACAGTATATAATATAAAAATGATTATATTATTGATTGCACATTGTTGAATTATTATACAAAATGTATAACAAACATGTATTAGTCAAATTTATTAAATGTTGTTGAGCACATTTTATTTGTAATTTATATTTTTGCTTTACCATAATATATTATGAATTATAATATAAATATTTTTGAATTACATAAAACAATGTAGAAAAACCACAAACAACAGTAGATATTTATATAATATACAAAGTGCCTAATTCAATTTGCTCAAATTGTTAAGCATTTAATGTTGATATAATAAATATTAATGAAAAAAACTATCAGAAATCTGATTATTTTATAATATTAGGCAATAGTTACTATAATTGAACTTAAAATGTCTATAATTATATAGCTAATAAAAACCACAAATTTCAAAACAAAGAGAGCAGTAGTAAAGTTATGAAAAAATTAAAACTGTATTTATAATATGAATTAATGATATTTATTTCACTTAAGTCTTTTAAAATAATAAAACATTAACAAATAATAATATTACTTTGGGTTTGAACACAATATTGAATAAACTTTATTATATGGATATTATATTTCATAGTAATATTAAAAAACGATTACACGACTATTGATTCTCACTAGTCACTATTAATAAATAATAAATAAGTATTTATTTTTAACTCTAATTATGTAACAAACATTTGGTTTTAAAAGCAGACATTTCAAATTTTAGTGTATCATATTTCATACCATAAATTATTTAATATTTAAATGTATTTTTAAGTATTCCGCCAAATAGTATTTTAGGGAACTTACAGCATTTGATTACATACACATACAATTTATTCAAAGGCTTAAAAAACAAATGGAAAAAATAAAACTTACTGTGATGGTCTAGTAATGATATACATTTGAATGATCAGAAGTAGTAAATTGAATGCATACATTAGGATATTTTAATCGCCAATCATTAACATCATCTTCTTTGATGTTTTCGCAAAAATTAACATCTATTAACTTTAGGTTTTTACATTTCTGTAGGAACTTGGAGCAAGCATCAACCGTAATTGCTCTGAGGCCAACCAAATCAATTTGTTCCAACAGTGGGCAGTAGTCAGCAAACGCTAGTAGATCACGGTCGCACACACCGCGTAGTGACACAACAATGATTTTTTTCAATCTTGGACAAGATTTGACCAAGTCCAAGAGACTATCACCAGGAATACTCATAGCTAAACTGAAAATGTATGAGTTATGTTAGCCAAGTCAATATTCGTGGTAGTATGGTATTTTATTTATTTAAATGTATACCAACCACCATCCGAGATCAATTTCTTCAAGTTGTTTGAGAGCAGTTAAATAGCGCAGCCCAGTAGGAGACAGTGTATAACTTTTCCAAAAATCTACAGACACTAGTTGCTTGTTCCATATTGACAATTCATGAGCAACATGATCCATACATTGGATTCGTTTACATGAACCTAACCATTGGTAAAACAATTATTAAAATGAATAAACACCATCACGGATTCACAGTTAATCAATCCAATGAAATAAAACTATATAATATATATTATAAGTGTTAACTATTTAGTATTTACCAAGATTGATGTGCTTCAACTTGGGCATATCAGTTATATAAAAACTTAAATAATCTCTGTTGATATTTGTTCTATAAAAATCCATACGCTCCATTTCTGTTAAACTCTGCGGTGGACATATCAGCTCAAAACTAATCGAAGTGCAACTTCTTAAACTCAATTCTGAAAAACATAAGTTGTACATACATTTCAGTGAAAATATAATGAGGAAAATATCTTTACCTTTCAGATATATACAAAATAAGTTGATTGCAATTAATGTGGTATCATTGACGAATTCACAACAGTCTAATCGTAGGTTAGTTAAATTTCTACCACATCTCTTTAAAAATCTAAATATTCAATAAATAATTAAAACAAATGATTATCGTTGTATTGTTTAGCATAAATGACGTACAAGTTGAATGGTATGGTCAATATTCCTTTTGTAATACCACACCAGGATAAATCCAACTTTGTCATCCGGTCACAGTACGGCTCTAATGAAATGAGCATTGAATAGGAAAATGAACACCAATAAGGCTAAAAACATACTGTAATGATTCTTTTTTTCTTCAAATATGTAATTTTTGAACACTTATACTCACTTTTAAATTTAATTCTCTGTAGAAATATCCATCGGTACAAATGTTATTGAAGCGCTTGCACACCCTCATACAAAGTCGCAATGATTTTAAATCCAAGTATGAAAATATTTGCATCAATGATTCATTCTATATTTGCATAGTTACAATTTTAGGATTTGGTAATGAGTTTAATAATAATAATTAAATATAATAGGAAAAAAAAAGTGTACCGGCAATTGCAACGTGTAATCAATGGCAGGTACCTTACGCCACTCGTTTTCAAGTTCTTCTATATTCTTGATCAGTTTCATAAATGGATCTAGACTCGTTGACATAGGTATCTATAAATTGACATACTACAAAAATTAAATGTTCAGAAAAAAACAAAATTAAAAACCATTTACATTTGAAGCCATTGATGGCACTCTAACATTTAACAATAACTCCTGGTTTTGTTCTTCATCATTATCACCAACGTATCCTGAGGAAGTATGAGTAACCATAGGTATAGACATAACGTCTAGCTCACCGTCTTCTGGATACTTCAAAATACCTCCCATGGATACAGCATCTAACTCAGTATAGTAATCCAACTGGGAATGATTAAACTCAATGCATATCTCTCTGTGGTAAAAATGTAATAACATTGATATCAATCAAAGCAATATGTAGTAGACTAATATTTTTATCTTACTTGACCAGTTCCTTTATGTGATTTAATTTTGGAGCAAACAGACGAGAATGTTTCGTGCCATTACAGTTCTGTGGCAGCCCTTCCCAAAGTAATCTCCATGCCATCGTTTCAGGAAGATCAATGACTTTGCCCGATATCCGTACTACAGACCCGGGAGTAAAAGTTTCAAATATGGAGATGACCACAGGAATGACTGGTATTGTAAATGATAATACTGCAATACAACAGATTAATAGTAAAAATGAAAATATTTAATTGCATTTATTTTTATTCGATCTTACTTATATAATCTTCGCTTCTTATTCTTCCGGCATTTTGTGGCATAATTGGACATTTTCGGGATGGTGCTAAATCTCTCCATGGTCCATAACTCCGCTGAGTAAAATAAATAAATAAAAGAATATTATTGCCTGATAAAAATAAAATCCTAAAACGTATTTTAAACCGTTTGATATTGAGCAAAATAATAATCCCTCGAATAGTTGAATTTCAAATATTAAAAGGTTACTACAAATAATTTAAATAAATTATAGAAATAAAACACTTAATATTATTGATCATACAAAACAATTTCAGCCAGGATCGAAATTGAAGACTTCAAATTTAATAGTAATTTCAATTTGTTTTTCAAAAAGTAACATTTATGTTGTAACATATAGACTTGTAGGTCATGGGAGTTATACAATTAATCACTGAGTGTAGTGAACAACAAGCGCACATGTACTAATACATTAGATCACTGATAACTCACCATAACATAAGACTGGGGAAAGTCTCCGTAGTTGGGAAACTTGCTCGGCCTGCCGGTGACATTACTAGCCGTGTAAGATATGCTAATATCGCTACCATATTGAGAGCTAAAGTCCACCACATCCGACGAAAATTGGAACACGAAGTTGTCTGACGAAGATCGCTGCCTGTTGATTCGCCTGACTTCTTTGCGATCCATATACGTGCGAGTATAATCCATGTACGACTTGCAAAGCTTTCTAAGATCGGCCAAGTTAAAGCCAACTTGTTCGTCGTTCATGACCAATTGGCAATTTCGTCGGCACAAATCCCGATAAAAAGCGCACCTTTGAATTCCATCGAAAAAACTAATTCCGATTAAAGTACATTGTGAACTCGGGCATCTGACGGGTGAGATTCAAAGTTATCGAGATTCGAAAAGGTTGGTAAATAAATTATGGGACAATAAACTATAATTATTTAATTATTTTCAATATTTTGGTTCCTATATTTACAATTTTGTCATATAGTATTTACACTATCACAGTATCACACGTCCTTTGACCACAGAGTCACAGAGATCAATTTATTGTTCGAAATCGGTTTGATAATGCCAACCAACGCTACCAACTCTGACGAAATTATAGTAAGTGGTGATTCTGTGCCAACCAGTTTTCACATTTTAAATACTCGAAGCCCGGGATTTTATGACCTACTACGTCCACTCATACATTTTTTAATTATTAGTACATTAAACATTTGTTAATTGTTGCTAATGAATATTATTGAATAATGATGTAAAAAAATTAAAGAACAGATTGTCACATTATATTAAGATCAATCATTGAATAGTTAATCATTACACAGCTGAGTTCACAAGTTAGGATATAAACACATTACACTTTTTGGCTTTTGGTATATTATTTATATACTATTATATTCAGTTACAACTTGGTTATTAGTCGATGTCGGGTAATACTAAAACCCGTGAAGGGACGAGACGGGACCACGATTTAAGTAAATCTCCAATCGTGGACGGGACCGATTCCTTTCCACATGTGATAACAAAAAACAGTGTTGCCTGAACATGCCCAACGAAAAAAAATCTTTCTAATTACGACTAAAATTATATTTAATATATTTAAATATAAAACTATTATATTTTTAAATATATAACTAACTTATAAATTAAATACATAGATTAACCGAAAATATATTAACAAAAAATATGTATTCTCGTGAAAACAGTACAGAATTACAGGTTACAGCAGTGTCGGCCTGGTACAACAAAGGCCCATGGATCAGTTTTTTTAAGGGGCAACATATGAAATACAAAATTTACTTGATATTTTGGTGAAAAAATTCTCACCAATTTTTTTCCTTTAAAAATAAATTTATTTAAATTCTGATTTTTAGAATTTTTAAGCATACCTAAAGACCATAATAATAATTCAAATTACTGATATTTTTGGTACTACTATTAAAGAGTGTCCTGTGGCTATACAAACTTTTATTTTTCAAATGAGAATCTCATTATTTACTGCAAATTATTTAACAGTTGATGTTCTTAAAAATGTTGATGTATCTAAATCAAAATTCTAATAAGTAGTTGCTGAATTATTAAAATGTTTATACTAAGGATAATAATGCTTAAATATGGTTTTACAATAAAAAATTAAAAGTAGCTAATATTAGATGTAGTACCTATTCACTATTCAGTATACCTAATAATTTTCATATATAATTTATCTTGAGAGATCAATGCTACCTACTGACTACTACATTTTCAAATCGTCTAAGCAGCCAAATCTACTTAGCCAATTTCCATTAACGTATTATCATAAGTACACAAAGTTATATTGTTCAAAAACTACTATTTCGAATTTTGATTTAGATGCATCAAAGATCTCAAAAAAGAAAAAAATTCCTATTGAATAATTAAAAGTAAAAAAAGAGGATTCATATTTAGGAAACAGAAGTTTGTATTGTAACAACATCGTCCTTAAATGGTATAAAAAATATTCGAAAATCTTCAAGTGTATTTAAAAATTTTAAAAATCAGAATTTGAATATAACATCGTAAAACTTAAGTAAAAAAAAAGTCGCTCTGCTGTACAGGAGATTACAAGTGGGTCACTGTATAATGGATGGTATACAATTTGAATTCAATGATATAATATCATTGTATAAGAAAAACGATTCTGATCGGAGACGGTATAAGGCATATTATATAGGGGAGACTAGCTTAATATGACATATTAGGGTAATATGACACATTGATGTTTTGATTAGAATTATTGATATTTATGAACCAAATCTTCTTTAAATACGTTACATATAACCTCCTACATACAATTGTATACAGCGATCACCGGTTTTGACCTTATCAGAGAATTTGATAACAAAAATGTGTTTTTTGTCTTATCAACATTTTTTAAAATCATTTTTGAAAATTAATTTTAAAATATTAAACCTTATGTTCCTTCAATTTTTTTTATTCGAAGTTGAACATAAAAAGGCAAGCTATACTACAATTGTTTTATAAATAAGCTTATTATAATACTTTTGCCATAAATACTTTGAAAAAAACTTGTATTATATCAGGCAAAATGACATAGCCGTGCTTATTATTATATTAATTTCATATTTATATTATTATATTAATTATGTTAAATATATTTCTAAAATTTTGTTATTTATAATAAAAAAAACTCATTAAACTATTAAATTCTAAAAATTTTATAATTTATTTCTATTGACCAGTATACAATGGTTGCTTATACAAATATGGTGTATGCCATTTTACCCGACACTCCGGGTAAAATGACATAGTAGGTACATTTAAAAAAAAGTGAATTAAAATTATTTGTTTATATTAAATGTACAATTAGACTTCAGAAATATGTGTATTATATAAGTACTAATATGTTGCTCAAGTTTCATGTGTTAACTAACATTATTTCCTTCATTTTTTTAAAATTAAAAATTGGTATGTCATATTAAGCCAGTCTCCCCTACTTATCTATGGTATTAAAAATAAAATTGGCCTATAATAGACACCTATAATAAGTTACAAATTAATCATATCACAATATCCATTAGGTACTTATAACGAGCTATACATCAATAACAAACTGTGATAATATCATAGATATACAGGGTGTCCCGTGAGGATTTACCTATTAGCCGTAGAGGGGGACTCGCCGCCCGGACAAAAACCGGTTTTCTGCCGTTTTACTTATTAATTAAAAAATTATTAAAAATCAGGAAATTAATGAAATTAAAATGTTGAAACGTCAATATTTTCAGAAAAATAAACTCTAAAAAATGGCAATCTTCAATATTTTTTTAAATAATTAATTAAAAAAATAATTTTTTTAACTTTTTTACCAAAACATAAAAAAAAATAAAAAATTAGTTATTTGTAGTGCTTACCTCTGTGAGTCTTAATAAGAAAACAGAATTACGATATCTCTATTATTTCAGGAGATATCGCAATGAGTAAATCCTCACGGGACACCCTGTATACTACTATACACTTTAGAAGTTTCAAGTACCTAACCACGAATAATATTATACAATCACAACAAAATAACTAAAATAGTTATTCTAGGTTTTTAGATTCTGAGTGGAACGATGAATGTATTGATTTTACAATGATGTGTATTTACTATTTTTTTATTTTTTTATTTTAGATTCTGAGTGAAACGATGAATGTATTGATTTTACAATGATGTGTGTTTTTTTTTTATTTTTTTTTTTTTTTTTGTGTCTGTGTACACGATAAGTAGTCGAAATAATTCTTCGATTTTCAACTTCAGTATCTTGTTCGATTGGAAAGTGAATATCGTTGGTGCATTGGGGAAGTCAAAATTTAAAATACCCAGTACTTTTCAAAAGCGCCAAGAAAAACAAAAGAAAAATTAAGGAAAAACGGGAATTTTTACGCAAAATCGGAATTTCAGAAAATTGAATTTGGTTTTTGGTGTAACTTTAAAACAAATGACCGTAGATACATGAAATTTTCACTGGTTGTTTATATTTGCATTTTCTATACACGATAACATTTTCAAAATATTTTGATTTATTTTGAACTGTTTAGGGACATTTTCATTTTTCATTTTTTTTTAGTTTTTTTTTTAGAAATATCAAATTTTCATATCTTAAATCGATCACAGATTAAATCGCAGACACGATGTATCATTAATGGGGATTAATTATTTTATGGCACTTAAATAGGTAAATATTTTCTCCTAGCTCTGCGCAGAGCATCACATATTAGCATCTAATTATTATACTAATTTTTAATCTTACGCTATTAAAATATGTGATCGATCAAGTAGGTACAACAATAACTCGTGGTCTTCAGAACAAAATAAATTACAGGTAAGTAAGGTAACATAGAATTAATATTTTATTATTATCAACCTATATAGTTATATTTAACATTTAAATTGTATGACGTCTTTTTTTTGGGAATGACACGTATATAGATACCTGTCAAATTATATCGACTTACTTTAATAAAGACATCTGTAAAATTTACAATATAGACCGAGCTTACATTTTTTTTTTAACTTATTAGTCCAATGAGTAAAAGCCGAAATTTTTTTATTCCACCTAACCTATTCCAGTAGAATTTTTCAAATGTTTGAAAGTCGAACAATAAAATTTGGGTCTTTAATATTATAATGGTTTTTTTCGGGTTTTTTTTTTTTTTTTTAAACTTTTACTCCTGATTAACATCTGACCCCGATGAGTGAGATAACCAATGACTAGACATTCTAAATCAACATTTCTTTACAAACTTTTTTTATACTTTTATCATATTGTAATCAAAAACATTAGACACACTCGTAGATAAATACTCCTTCTGCACTTTTTCACCCGATAAGAGTTTTTGTTTAACAATTGCTATTTGTGAATAAGAAAAAAGTTCACAATTTTTTAGGGGTGTTACCTGGGCTGACCAAAACAATTAACTCAGGTGTCTGATTTATTTGAATGTTACGATGTGTTTCGGTTGTGGTTATTTTAAATTGTAGTTTTATTAAAATAAAAATGGGTTGTTATGACTGGAGCATGTATTTGAATTTGGGTGTCTCTGGCTTGAATGCTTGTTTCTTCTGGTATCGTGAATCTGTCGTCCGTTTATTTACATATGATGCTATAACGTTGATGATGCCAAATATTTGTGAATATTGTATAGGTACTTGAAGTGAGCAATAAATAACTAAGAATAAAAGCCGTCATTATAAATTATAATATATTAATATCGAACAAGTCGTATAGTAATGACCA